ATGTAGCTGACATCAGATCACTTCCCAGTACGATTTCACTGCTTCTCTCCTGCTGTTTTACAAATTGTTAGCTAGAGTTTCTATCCATCCACCCTTATGACTGCCATCTTGCTTAAAGTGTGGGTAAGTCCTGTGCTTTTCCATTATTCACTTCTAATAGACAGGCAGTGTTGTGTATGCAAGTTTGTCAAAGTTTTATCCTGTCCAGGGTAGATGGCTTAGTTTTAAAGTAACTGTGCTGCAAGCATAAGAACCTGAAATCCAACCATCAGCCCAATCCAGGCCTGGCAAGGCATAACCATCATTCTAGCGCTGTGATATAAAGGCGATGTAGAGACCAGAGGATCTCTAGAATTTACTGGTCTGCTGTTGAGTCTGTAAGCTCCATTTTCAGTGGCAACCCTGCCTGAAAAAGTAAGGTAGTGATCTATTTATGTACAAACTTGACACTAGTTTGTAACTTCTTCAAACACATTCATGTAGGTACACACACACACACACACACACACACACACACACACACACACACTATACTGGTCCTGCAGCATTTATTTTGGACTGGAATTCCACTAAGAATTACGTTACAATTCCATCCTCAGAAAACAATCAAAAACAGTCACCCTTTCACCACAGGCTCCAGGGGTGGGATTGAAGTGACAATATAGGTGAGCTATTAAAGAACTGAGGCACGCGGTCCACAAATGAGCTTGTCCTTTTCCTCTGGTTGCAACTTCATACCCGTAACTATTTGTATTTCAAGTGGTGCACCTTCTTACCTTATCCTCAAACAGCCTGTACAGACAGATTTTTTTATCAGGAAAAACTCCCATCTTCTAGAAGAGACATGTAGTAAGCTCCCATTTTGTTAGGTTTTTCCTCATTTGTTGCACTCCACTTAGGAGTACTCCATTAAAAATGCCCATGCTTCTCTGTAGCAAACTCAGGGTTCACCTTCACTTCCTTCCTCCTTCCTCTGCTGATCAGTTATCTCAAATGCACAACCCATGGTCATTCTGCACACCTAAGTGCTTCTCAGTACCTAACCAAGCAATATTGGGTGCTTACATCAAACTTACCTCAGTGATCAACATCAGGTATTTAGGCATCCATCAGTAATTCCTAATATAATTAGAGCAATTGAGAATTTCTTTATCATATTATCTATCTCTGTACAATTTTTAGTTTATATGTAATCCATCATCTATCAGTATAAAGATCTGTATAAATATATTCCTTCTGAAAATAATAATATTATCAAGGCCTCACAATATGAAAATATTTGTACATCATACAAACTAAACATAGCTTGTAAAAGAGTGTCTATCTTCAATGTTTGTTGCAATGGGATGTTCCTAAGCTTTAAAGTTTTTGAAGTAAAGAATTCTGTTTCCTGATAAAGAGGGGAGTATAAGTTATTCATTTTTAGTTTGGATCTTCCCTTTCTCGTGACTTATTGGTTTTACTAAGGTTTCGAGTACAATATTGAATAGAAGAGGGATGAAGGAGATGAAAGTCTCATTTTTATGTATAAATTATTTCATTTCTCCAGGGTTGATAAGCCATATTTCCTTCATTGTTTTATCTTATCATTTTCCTATCCTGTATTTCTTCAGAATTATTTATCCTGAAGGTACAATACATTTTGTCAACATTATTTTCTGCATAATGACTTTTAGAGTTTGAATTTACTTATAGGCAGTATTACATTCTTTTATATTTCATGCGTGCTGATCCATCTTCGTGTTTTTAAAGGAAATCAAGTTTATGACCATGTACAATATTTATCTCCTCCTAATTACTATTGCCATTGTTATTTCATTAGTTTCATATATGTAAAAAATTTGGTGTGATCATATTAATCACTGTTAATCTTCTCGTCTCTATATTCCTCCTGATGGCCTCCTTATTATTCTCAATTTTTCTTTCCTTCTTTTTGATCCTTTGTTAAATTTGTTAGTTATTCAATCTTCAAGAATTTTTGTGTCTACTATTGTTTTTTGTTTGCTTGTTCATTTTTATTCTACTGCCATCCCAGAAGATTCGACACTTTTCAGTTTGTTTTGCATTTATCATTACAGTTGTATTACATTTTCTACTTTTTCTTTGCTGCTGTAGCAAGACACCATGATCAAGCAAGCTATAAAAGAAAGTGTTTCATCTGGTACATGGTTTTAGAAGGTTAGAGTTGGTGATGGAGGAGAAAGGCATGGCAGCAGGAACAGCTGAGAGTTCACATCTTGATCTGTAAGTTGGAGACAGGGGGTAGGGCTGGAAATATCGTGTGTTTCTGAAGCCTCAAGATCTAATCCCAATGACACATCTCCTCCAACAAGGCTACACTTCCTAATCTTTTAAAAATAGTTCCACCAAATGGGAACCAAGTGTTTATACACAGGAGCCTGTGGGGACCACTCACATTAAAATCACCACAACTGTCTCATGGGCTAAAATATTTTAGAGAAAATTTTGTAGGATGCTGAAAAGAATATGTGCCAACAGTTTTTGAATGAAGTACTATGCATATTTAAATTTTGATTTTCTATCTTCCATCCATTTGCAATATCATTTCCCATCATATTATGCCCCTCTATACATGTCTTTATCAGTGAAATATATTTCTTGTAATCAGCCATTAATTGAATTATATTTTGCCACACATTCATCCATGCTATCTTTTTAATTTAAATTAGAAACAATCTTATTTTACATATCAATCGGAGTTCCCTCTCCCTTCCACCCTCCGTACCCTTCATCAACTCCCATCTCATCCTCCCTCTACACCTCCGGAAGGTTGAGACCTTCCATATGAGATCATCAAATTCTGTCACATCATTTGGTACAGGCTTAGCCCCTGTATCTCTATGTCTGATGTCAAAATGCTGTTGAGATCCACAGATTCTTGCAGAGTTTTGACTGTAACACATATCTCTCTCTTGGGCTTGTTTTACTCCCTGTTAGTAGCTTTTCCCAGGTATACCACAGCTCTGGCATCTCCAACATATTGAGCTCTCCAAGGCTATCCAGGCTTCACATTTACAGCTTCATGCAATGGGCTCTCTAGGCCTCCACTCAGGAACTAACCCAACTTGTTCCTGGACTCAGTCAGTTTTCTTAGTCACAGAAGAAGATTCCATAACCCCTTTCTTCTATCTTTGTCTCTAAAGACAGAACCATGTGGCCTAAAGCTGCCAGGTTCAACTGTTTTTGGATGGAACACGGTCCCCTTATTCAATTACTTCTTCACTAGCTTTATCTTCTCCATGGTTTCATTTATTGGCTAAGTTTAGCTGTCCTGTAACTTTCGCTATAGACCAGACTGGACAAAACTCCAAAATCTGCCTGCCTCTGCCTCTGGATTGATGGGATTGAAGGTGTGTGCACCACCACACCTGTCTCTGAGATTTTTCTTTAATCCCTTTCCAATAAAGCTTAGCTAGGGGGATGTTGCCCTGATGTCACAATTTTATTCATTCCATTTCTTTTTCATTATTTAAATTAGAAATAAGCTTGCTTCACATGTCAATCCCAGCTCTCTCTCCCTCCTCTCCTCCCCCATCCTCCTTCAACTACTCCCCGACTGCCACACAATCCCCACTCTGCTCTCCAGGGAGTGTGAGGCCCTCCATGGGGATTTCCATAGTCTGTCATATCATCTGGGTCAGGGCATAGGCTGTCTCCCCTATGTCTAGGCTGAGAGAGCATCCCTCGAAGTATGATGTGCTCCCAAGTCCATTTGCATGCCAGGGATAAATATTGATCTACCACCCAAGGCCCCATAGATTCATGGCCTCTTAGCTGACACTCAAATTATGGTGTCTGGATCAGTCCCTTGCTGGCCTCTCACTTATCACTCTGGGGTCCATGAGTTCCCCCTTGTTCAGGTCAGCTTTCTCTGTGGGTTTCACCAGCCTGGTTTTGAACCCTTTGCTCATTTCTTAATCTGTTTATCTCCTTGAGCACAGAGTTTAACTCCATTCCACTTCCTGGTGCTCCTTTTCTATTCAAAACAAACACTTTGTATTTTTCCTTGTTTGGTTTGATCCTTGTGCTATAAATCTTCATTATAATGAATGCTAATAGCCACATGACAGAATCTGTATTAGGCTGTTTTGAGATTTTTGTCTGCCAGTAGAATCAATCCAAAATTCTTCATGTTAGACTCAGAAAGACTCTATGGACAAGGACAAAAAGCAGCCATACTCTTCATCAAAATATCACAAGAATGATCTCTAGTCAACGTAGTAACATTCATCTCTCCTGAAACTTCTTGAGTTAGGCCACCAGAGTTCAAATCACCCTCAGCACCACTGTCTTCCATTCTCTTACTAGCATGGTTCACTGAGAAATGCTTGAAGCATTACAAACTCCAGAAGTCCAAATGCCTCCAAATGAAAGTATAGTAAGGCCTATTAAAGCAATACACCAGTGTGTGGTACTGATTTCTGTATTAATTTGAATTTCTATAGCTATAAAGAGATACCATGACCATGACACTCTTATAAAGGAAAGCATTTAGTTGTCACTGTCTTAGAGTTTCAGAGGTTTACTCCATCATGATCATGGTAGGACATGGTAGCATGCAGGCAGACATGGTAGTGGAGAAAGAGCTGAAATTTCTTGATCCACAGGCAATAGGAAGTGAACAATGTCCCACATTGAACATAGATTGAGCAGAGGAGACCTCAAAGCCCATCCCCAGAGGGACATATTTTCTCTAACAAAGCCACACCTCCTCCAACAAACCCACACATCCTAATAGTGCCAATCTCTATGGGAGCCATTTTTTTCAAGCCACCACATAGCACAGGTCAGTAAAATCTTCAAGAAATTTTAAAGGTTGACAAATGACTTAATTTATGTAAGCTGTTTCCTCCTCTTTGTGAACCAGGGTCAGTTATTCCCACAGAGTCGGGTTGGAGGAAGGGTTTAAGAGAGTATACAGTGTGTGTTCATGTCCTCCTTTTTTTCATTTCAGGAACACTAGTGAAGAACTCCCAAACATGCAACTAAGCACCCCAGTCTGGATGGCTAATGGCACAGCAATGAATGAAAGTGACTACAATCAGCCTTTATACTGTGCCACAATGTTCTATACCCTGAATATTCTCATTGTCATCGTTGCCCTGGTTGGTGTGGCAGGAAATGCGATAGTGTTGTGGCTCCTGGGCTTCCGCTTGCACATGGACGCCTTCTCTGTCTACATCTTCAACCTGGCTGGGGCCGACTTCCTCTTCCTCTTCTTTCAGACTCTGTGTTCCCTGGACAAAATCCTTAGTCATTTTCATATAAAACATATTGGAGTGCCCATGTATTTGTTTGTGGTGTTCAATTGTGCTTATTTTGCAAGTCTAGGCATGCTCAGTGCCATTAGCAGTGAGCGCTGCCTGTCTGCCCTGTGGCCTATATGGTACCGCTGCAGAAGACCAAGACACACATCAGCTGTCATATGTGCCTTGCTCTGGGCCTTGTCCCTGATATTGAGCCTCTTGGAAGGGAAGGCATGTGGTACCTTCTTTGATGACTCTGCTTTTGTTTCTGCTTCGTGTAAGAAATTATGTTACATCATTTTTGCTTGGTTAATTGTTTTACTTGTGGTCCTCTCAGGGTCCAGCCTGGCCCTGATGATCAGGGTCTTCTGTGGCTCACACAGGATTCTTGTGACCAGACTGTATGTGACCGTTGCCCTCACAGTGATGGCCTTCCTGCTCTTTGGCTTGTCCTATGGGATCTACTGGTTCCTCTTAGTTTGGGTCGAAGAGGATCATGGAGTTTTCCTTTGCCATGCTTTTGAAATGACAATGTTCCTATCCTGTGTTAACAGCTGTGCCAACCCCATCATTTACTTCCTTGTTGGCTCCATTAGGCATCATCGATTCCAGAGGCAGACTCTGAAGATGCTTCTGCAGAGAGCCATGCAGGACACTCCTGAGAAAGAAGGTGGAGAGAGGAGTTCTTCCGGACAGGAAACAGTCTAGTACAGCAGCTGACAACTTTGTCCTGGTCCATGTAGGCAATTTTAATAACATTTTCATTTGGACAGCTGACCTTAAATATGTTGAAAAATAATTATTCTTGTGAAAGTTGAGTGAGACAAGGCTTGTCAATCAGGTACTTTCTTGCAGTATCCTTAAACTTGCTACTCAGGGCCAAACCCTCCCCTTAGGGGAAGTCTTAAGGCCTTGCTGGAAAGGTCAGAATTTCTTTGGTCATTGAACTTGACAGTGATGGTTATAATTTGCCCTAAAGTTCTCATTATTTTTATTTTTGAGACAGGGTTTCTCTGTATTATTTTGGAGGCTGTCCTGGAACTAGCTCTGTAGACCAAGCTGACCTCGAACTCACAGAGATCTGCCTGCCTCTGCCTACCTAGTGCTGGGATTAAATGTGTGCACCAACAACCAACACATGTTATGTTCTCTTTATTTTTAAAAGAACTTTTGTCTCAATGTTAAAATTGCATAAAATTTCCCCACAATCCCAGTCCCCTTAATTTCTGAAGTTAGGAGAGGTATATAACCTCATAATTATCTCTTATACTAATTTCTTAGAAACAATATGCAATCTTAAAACAGCTTATTAAATTTCAATTCACCAGACTAAAGTCATCACCTTCAAGCTGATTGTTTATACCATTTAGGGCACTGGAAAAGTGAGATCTGGTTTTGTCCCAGTGCAGAGCTCAGGGTCTCTGTAATAACTCTAATCTCTCTGTTTCTGCTTCTTCAGTGTTTGCACTCAAAGGTGGCTGCTGGACCAGACTGACAGTAAGATTATCTGTAACAAGAATCCACTGAGGAACACTGGTTCTTGATTTGCTTTCTCACTCACTTATACAAGACAAAGTCACTTATACTAGTTATGGCAAGGCTAAACACTATGCACAAACTGAATAAAAATGCTTTTTCAAATGAGATGTCTGTTACCAAGAGATCCTATGCTGTGACTATATGACAGTTTGCTAACTAGAATATTTTACTACTTGTCTACTTGACATAGAAACACTTCACTTAAAGCTATAGTCTTTCAAGTTTTTGTCCCTTAGATCTTATATTTAAAACATCACTTAAAACAGTTAGGTTTCAGAGTTACACAGTCTCTAAAATTTTAAACACATTAAAAGTCCCATTAAAACCTACTAAAATTCCCCTTAAAACCCCAAAGTTTTGAGGCTAAAGAGGTGGTTCAGAGGTTATGATCACTGGCTGCTCTTCCAGAGGTACTGAATTCAATTCCCAGCATCTACATTGTGGCTCAAAATCATCTATAATGAGATCTAGTGTCATCTTCTGGTATCCAGGTGTATATGAAGACAGAACACTGTATGCATGATAGATAGATAGGTTGGTAGTTAGATAGAAAGATAGATAGATAGATAGATAGATAGACAGACAGACAAACAGATGATTGACGTCTTTTAACTGTGGGTCCCTCTAAATTGAAATCAAATTATGCTTCTTATTCCAAAATGAAAGAACGTAGTAACAGTAGAAAACCAACCCAAATATCCAGCAGTACAAATCCAAAATTTCTTGCTCAAAATCCACTATCTGGGGCTTTCTTACTTTGCAATGTATATCTGAAAGTTTTAAGCAGTCCCCTTTCCCCAGCTCTGTCATATGGATAACAATGACTTGTCTCCTAAGCTCATGTTAGCTACACTCCACATTTGCCACTGTCCTAGGCAAACATCTCATAGTCCTGGAATCTCCAGTTTCCTAGATCTTCACTACAATTAACGATGCACCTTTACTAACGGCCACTCTTAAACTCTCCAAAGAGATGCCACCTACCATATGCTACAAAGGCCAAGTACCTGTTCATAACCCATTCAAAGATACATCTTCCATTACTTTTACTACTATCACCTGGGAGATTCTTAATCATTGTGAAGTTCAGCTGCCTGATTAAAATCGGCCTTAGTTGCCTTGTACTATAGCTTCGGTGGGATGACCCTAAGCACAATACATTCCTATTATCTTGATGCTGCTAAACACTTATTAATCAGAGCTGATTCTTCAGCACCAGGTGACCAACAATCCCATCATCCAAGAGAAAAACAGGTTCACCTCAATGATGCAGATCTGTTTTTTTTGGGGGGGTTCGATTTTTGGTTTTGGAGACAGGGTTTCTCTGTGTAGCCCTGGCTCTCCTGGAATTTGCTCTTTAGACCAGGCTGGCTGCAAACTCAGAGATCTGCCTACTTCTTTCTCCCCAGTGCTGGGATTAAAGGTATGTGTTACCTCCACTGGTCTGGTCTGCAGATTTGGTTTTAAGTACAGCTGGTTCTGAAGTCCCATCTGACAACATCCACAGACTCTGAATACAACATTTCACACAAATAGCATATGGCTCAATTCCCTTTTTTTGTTGTTGTTGTTTCATTTTTTTTCGAGACAGGGTTTCTCATTAGCTTTAGGGGCTGTTCTGGAACTAGCTCTTGTAGACAAGGCTGGTCTCGAACTCACAGAGAAACACCTGCCTCTGCCTCCCCAGTGCTGGTATTAAAGGCGTATGCCACCAACGCCTGCTGTTCTGGCTCAATTCTTAATTCAGTCAGTAACCCCTTCTGAAACTGCATAAAAACACCCCCACAGTTCATCTTCCAAGTTCCTAAAATAACTTATTAAGGTTTGAGCATTCAGCAGAATTTCCAGCCCAAAGTCCTAAAATCCTATGCAATCCACCAACAAAATGATCCAAAGGCATGAAAAGCCACATGGCTATGTGTGTCCCAGGAACAATCCACACCCTGTGCCAATTTCTCTTTTAATTTCCTCTCTGTTGCAGTGATAAGGCACTCTGAATGAAATCATTTTAAGGAGAAAAGAGGGTTTATTTGCTCTGTCTTCCTCTCCCACTTCTTCAGTGAGCAACGTGAGGGAGGAATTCAAGCAGGAATGTGAAGCAGAAACCATGGAGGAATGCTGACTGCTGCCTCTCTTGCTGATGCTTGGCTAGTTTTCTTATACTGCCCAAGACCATCTGTCTAGGTGTCTAAGGCTGTTGCCTCCCTGGTGAGTTGGGATCATTAATCAATCAATAACCAGTTAATTATAGTCAATTATTAATCAATCAATAATAGTCACTGATAGGCACACAGACAACCAGATCTAGATGAATGTAATAAAAAGCTTTCTTCATATAGCATTCTAGGTTTTGTCAAGCTGAAAATTAAACATAACTGGGACACTAGCTTAACAGATGTGTTACCTTTTATTTTAGATATATCCAAATTATTTTATTATTACATTTAAATTATTGATATTATGAAATACTATATTAATTTAAAGTTTCATAGACACCAGTTTAATAGAAAATCATATCCAAGGTTGACTGGGAGGGTAGGATAGGGGTAGAGGGAATTATAGGTTAGAAGACAGATCAGGCACCATTGTGACCTCTAGTGATCTAAAGGGATGACACCAATTGGCAAGCTAAGCAATAGTATAGAGACCACCTCAAATGCCCATACCTGATAATGAACTTGATGTCTATAACCATCCTGGAGCCTTCATCCAGTGACTGATGGAAGCAGCGGCAAATACCCACAGTTAAACACTGAAGTGAACCCAAGGTACCCAGCAACAGAGAGCCAGGAGCAAGGAGCAAATTGGCCAAGAATGGGCTGGCAAACCCAGCAGAGACAGCTGATCTGAACAAGGGGGGAGCTCTTGGCTCCTAGACCAACAGCTGGGAGGCCAGCATGTGACTGATCCAGACCCTCTGAATGTGAGAGTCAGTGAGGAGGCCTGGGCAACTTATGGGGTCCTGAGCAGTGGATCAGTGTTTATTCCTCGAATACTAACAGATATCGTGTGGCCATAACAAAAAGAGAGATTCTCTCTCAGCCTGGACTATTAGGGGAGTGCCTGGACCCTACCCTGAGTGAAATGACAGACTCTAGATATCCTCTATGTGGAAGGAATTAGCAATAGGGTGGGAGTATGGGGGGGGATGATGGGGGTGTCAGGGGAGGGGAGGGAGAGGGAACTGGGATTGACATGTAAAACAAGCTATTCAAAATTAAAATAAAAAATATTTTTAAAAAAGAAAATCATATCCAAATTGTAATAGTACAACACATGTATTTGGAAAATAAATACACCCATGTTCTCAAAATGATCAAACCTTTTCAAGTCTTCTGAGAGATTCCATGATATTCAAAGTTACTTCCCTTGCCCAACAGAAAATGATTGCCATCATTATATCATTATATGACTTTGCATTAAGTTAATAAGAATCATATTTTATATACAATATGCTGTAATCAAGTTTAATTAATGTATGATATTGTTGTCACATACTGTTATCATTCATGATACATAGTGTAAAACTGATATGAATAAAAATATGCAACTACTCAAATGCTTATCTATATTCCTTTACTTCCTAAGTGATTCTCACACAGGACAATATTCTTTAGGGATTTCTCAATGTCATTATATCTTTTGAGTCTTCATTTATGATCCTGAGTGAGTACTGTATAAGTAGTTAGTAAAGCCACAGTTTAAGTATTTCATATTGGGATTGCATGTCTATTACTATTAATGATTTTTATATGTACTGAATAAAGAATCTAGAGTAAAATATATGTGTAAACCAAAGACAGACATGCAGTAAAAACTTTTCCTGAAACTTGTCATCATGGTGTTACTGCTTCACTTTCCAACAGAAATATGTAGGAACTGCAGTCTTTAGAAGTGACAAGGGAAAATTGTGTCTTCGTTCTTTGAACTTAAACCATGTTAAGAAGTATGAAGCTGTGTACTCTTGTGTTTTAATTTGCATTTTCTTAATGCCTTTGGAAATTAAGCATCTGAGTTACTTTGTATTTACTGGTTATTCATAAGAGATATTATTAAACAATCTTTTCTCATTTTATAAGCCAATCCCACTCCCTGCCTTCCTCCCATTTCTCCCACCTTTCTCCAACTAACTCCTCAGAGAAGGTGAGGCTTGCCATAAGGAGTCAACA